ATTGAAACATCAACTTTTTGGAAACCTATTATCAAAGAATCTTTATAAGCATCTTCAAGTTCGAGTTGTAAATTCTTACATTGTTCTCTGAGACTTTCAACTTCTGTGGCAGCAGACTTGACTTTGGCTATTTCTTCTTCCCGACATTTATCAGCTTCTTGAAGTTGTAATTCTAAATTTCGAATGATTTCTGCTTGTTCGGCTTCAGCTGCTCTAGCTTTTTCAAGTTCAAGTTTTATATTAGCAAGTACCCCCTTTAATTCCTCAATATTATCTGAGGTTGATAATTTGACTTCAACTTCCATTACAAATGTTGTTGGTTTGGCTTCTTCATATTCTGTAGGAGAAAGATCATGTAATCTTGATTGAATTCCGTAAAGTTGCATTTCAAGTTGTTTCGCACGACTAGATTCAATTGCTTCAGAAATCTTCGCATTGTCAAGTTGAATTTTTGCTTTTTCTGCATTTGCTGTTAACTCTTTAAGTAATGAATCTTTAACCATGAGTATTTCTTCTTTTTCAATTATTGCAGCATTTGTTTCTTTCAATTTAACTTCAAGTCCGATTACTACTTTTGATCGGGATTCTTCCAATGCCTTTGCTTCCTCCAATTGAGATCCAACAGTTGCAAGCTTGTTCCCAAGAATGGCAATGGTTTCCATGTCCATTTGAGAGGAATTCTTTGCTTCCGCAAGTTGATCCCTTAAATTATTGATAATTGATTCAAGTGCTTTGACAGCTTCCTTATGCTCAATTTCTTTTGCTTCGAGAGTATTGACCAATCCTTTTTCATGTTCTAATTGTTCATCTCGTTCCTTCTCCAGAATTATCATTTGGTTGCCAAGTTTTGCAATAAGTTCATTCTGAATTTCCATTTGATCTTTTGCATCCGATAAATCTCTTTTAGTTTTGTATAGATTTTTGTCATTGACATCATTTATTGCGTTTAATTCTTGAACTTGAATTTCCAAAGTTTTAATTTTGTGTTCTTCCTCCGCACGTTGTGTCACAGTTTCATTCAATAATTTTGATAAGTCTTTAATTTTCTTTGTTGATTCATGATTACTTTCCTTTGACTTATTCAGTTCTTCCCTAACGGATTTCAATTCATCCTCAAGAGTAATAACAATTTCCTTTTGTAAACCGAAATCTTTTTTCAAAATTTCTGTTTCTTTAAGAATTAATTCTTTTTCTTGAATTGTTTTTTCAAGTTGCATTTTTGATTGACCGATGGTTTTCTTTTGTTCTGATTCCAAATTTTTCAATATATTGAGTTCACCTTTGATTGATTCAGCGTTTTCTGTTTCTTTTTTAGCATTAGAAAGTTTGATTTCTAAATCTTCAATCGTTTTG